TCCTTAGCATCTTAACTCATCTTTTGTGACAAAACAAAACTTACACTCAGCGTAGAAAAGGCAAACTTTACTACAAATGTCCACACCAGAATTTTTTGCTCTAAAGAAGTCAGCTTGAGTTTAAGAGAATTCAGACTGTTGGAACCAGCAATTGGCATAATGGCTATGTCGCTGGACTCCCATGTAGTCAACCACGGTTCAAGTCCCGGACCCGGTGACTTAAACTCACTCCAGGTGTATGTGCGTGCAAACCCAAAATCATGAGAGGAGAATAGAGGAAAAGGGATTGTGGTGTGGCCATCCTCCCTGGGGAGTGATTTCTCACTTTCTGTCTCTTTCTGTCTTTCTGGTGAGTGCATGTGCCCTACAGCAAAAAACTCTCCAAAAATAAAGAAAGAGAACTCAGACTGTTTAAAAAAAAAAAAGTCTTTTTAAAAATAAAAATGCTAATTCCTTCTCAATATGGTTTCATGAAAAATTGTGCTGTTCCTGAGAGATGAAGCGAAAATGGGGGTGGGAGGAGATTCAGGAGATGAAAGTGACCAGTTTTTCAAGGAAGGCTGCTGGTGATGTTTTTAAATGACACACAGGAGTTTTGTGTTCATGAGCAAGGTGGCAGTAGAGGCCTGCAACAGCACTTCACAGCAGCATGATAGCGTGCAGCAATTTCTCCTCTCCAGACAGACTCCTCCTGCTTACCTCTGGGTAGTTCTCAGTTTTCCAGTGTGATTCATTGTGACCCCTGCTTTTCCCAACGATCCACTGGTCTTTCTCGTTAGTCACTCAATAAAACATCTTGCCCTATGTTCTCTTCCTGTTTTCTTTTAGCGAAAATGTCTGTTCAATAACCATCCTCTGTCGTTTTCTCTTTGGCCTCTTGCACTTTCACGACACAGCACGAGCCACGTAAGCCACCCTTACCCTGTGCCACTTGGCCCTGTGCTAAGCGTGGCCAGGCACCCTCTGCACTCGATGTGAGCCATCTATCCGTCTTCCTCCATCATGTCAAGGAGTCCTAACCAGGGTAGAGAAGAATGTGACTGCTATTCTTCCAATGTTAGAGCTTGCAAATTCAGGCCACCAGGTGGCATAATGGTTAAGGTTCTAGACTCCTACCTGGCCGACCATAGTTTCGAGTACCTAACCTGTTGGTTTGAAACTCATGGGCATGTGTGGGTGCATTTATAACAAAATCCCAAGAGGAGAATGGAGGAGAAGGGATTGAAGTGTGGCTGTCCCCTTTGGGAGGTGATTTTTCCCTTTTTGTCTCCCTCGTGAGGGTACTCACTTTCTGTCTCCCTGGTGAGTGTACATGCACTAAAGCAAAAAATCACTTAAAAAAATGCAAATTCCATGCTCACTCATTGATCTTAACTTGGTTTGTCCTCTGTTTTTATTTTTCAATAATATTGAACGTTTAGCTTCACTTTTTTCTACACATTAACTTACAAATAATGGAAGCAATGCAGAAAGGTGTGAAGAGAAGAAAGAATCCTCCTCCCGACCTTTTTCTAGCTCCAAGCCCACTTTTCATAGGTAATTAATTCCTGCTAATCAATTGGGTTTATATTCATAAAACGTGAAATGTGTGTGTGTATATAAATGTGCATAATATTCTTCGAGACACCTTTCTTTCTACAGATAGCTGATGGCATGTTGTGTTTTGCTTCTCTATTCCTTTTTTTATTTGTCATGTGATCTTTTCATCAGACACTCATTCATTCCAGTTATTGACTGTGTACCAGCACAGGAAATATCAGAGCACACAAACCAGAAATAGTTCTAGCCTTCATGGAGCTGATAACTCTTCACTTTTTACATTTTTTCTAGCATTCATCCTGAATTTGTTTGTTGTAAAATCTTCTGACTTTTGCTTGCTAAATATCGTAATAATTATGAACAGAATACATTATAACTGTTGTATATTTTTCTGTCCCAACAGATGTAATGTGGACCATTGTTTTGCAAACAATTTTCAGTCAGATTTCAATTTCGATATTTGCCCCTAAAGTTTCGTCGTTTGTATCTTTGTGTGCTGTGACCATCTTTATCTTTGGTTTAATATTCATTAGATGATCAGATACCAATGGTGTCCTTGTTTTCATTTTTAAGAACCAAAAATACATATATTAACATACAATCAATAGGATTCTCGTCTACTTAATCGAACATCTCTATCTCTGCCAATGCGGATGTTTTGACGATAATGATAATAAACAACACGAAGTCATATCTGAGGTATTATGCTTCAGCGTGTACAAACACGATTGCCATTCTCCTCTGTGATAGACTGAAACATTTTACATTTTTCTCCTTTGTCAAATACTAGCCAAATCTTTTCCGACTTCTGCAAATACCAACCTTCTATGTCTTCATTACTTTTCCTTCCCTGTCCTCTGTTGCACTGGGCTGTCCCTGTCCAACGGGACCATTTTGAGCATCTTTTTCTCGAAACGTGGAATGACCCAGCTGGCTCTGACAAGACAGTGTACCACCTCCAACAACGTTTATATAAAAGCAAATTCTATTGGTTTCAGCTCTGGCTGTATAGGCCCAGAAACATCTTATCATTGTGATTCCAGAATGTGTACGTTGTGCATACGTGTTGACGTAAAGTGCAAGTTTTTATCAACGGTGACATTGTGCTCAGTTCTCTAACCGTACTGTATCTATACTGTAAACCATAATGCACGCCATCTTGTCTGTGGTTGACATATTCTTCCAGTTCACTGCAGGGATCCTTAGCTCTGGCCTGAGCCCTTCTTCCTTCTGGATTCGTCTCTTTTCAACCCAGCTCCTTCGGTTTCCAGTGCCCTTCTAATGGCACCCCCCCCCCCATTTTTTTGGTGCCTTACACTTAGCCTTTGTGGAATCTGCTGTGTTACTTTCTTGTTACTTCTTACTTTCTTGTTTTCTAGAGCACGTTATCTTCATCCTCAAACTAAAAAAAAATTTAGTCTTTTCCTAAGGATACCAAAGTCCTCATAATTATCAAAGGGAGATCATTTTCTCATTCTCCCACTCCTAGCATGAGAAGCATGTTAGTAAACATTCTTGGGGCTAGCAAATGGCATATTGGTTACATCGCTAGATTTCCACATGGCCGACCGCAGTTCGAGTCCCACCCAGTGGCTTCAAAATCACACCGGCCACAAGTGCATGCATTCCCAAGATCCGGGGAGAAGAATTTTAGAGAAGGGACTGCAGCATGGTCATTCCCCCTGGAGGGTGATTTCTCACTTTCCTTCTTACTGTCTGTCACTGTCTCTCCAATGAGTGCATATGCTCTAAGGCAAAACTCTTAAAAAAAGAAAAAAAAATTTTTTTGACCTGCCCTTTTGAAATTCACTGTAGCATGTGAATGTTCAATATTCATAATTAAATGTATCCCAATCTCTCTAGTTATGTAGCTTCTCGAAGATTAATCATAAAAATGAAACAGAACAAAGTCAACAGCATTTCTCCTGGCTCACGAGCACTGTTTTTGGTTATATTTTCCAGATACAGTTTTTCCTGGCCTTATCAGAACCTTGGCTCTCTATTTCCCTTGTCTGTTACTAGTTGCACTCAGCCTCCTCAGCAATCCTGGGGAGTGACTCAGCATCTTGCAAGCTTTCACTGGAGTTGCTTATTTTGTTCTTTGACCTAGGTTTACCAGTAAATGAGCAAATTGACTTGCAGTTTAGGAGGGTAGATCCAGGACTAGAATTAAGGAAGAATGATGCTATTGATATATTATCTCCAAATCGTTTTTCCGGGAGTTATACTTGTGTACAGTTGTTTGCCCCTTCACAACTGGTGGCTTCATTTGAACTTCCTTCCGGCCTCCTCACCATCTTGCCTCACTGCACTGCCACACTCCACATGGAACATGGGTCTCTACTGCCCTCTTGTGTCCGCTGGCAGAAGTGACCCCTGGTGGGCAGGTTGATTCTCTGGAAGGAGTTTCGTTTGAATTGGTAACAATCATGACTGGAATCCCAATGGCTCTCTCCATTTTTTTTTTTTTTATTTTTCTTACTTATATAATATTTTTCACAATTCTAAATCTTCTTTTGCAAAAACCATTCCTAGATATGCTGCCTCAGTCTCAAGTCAATGGGCTCAACCAATTCATTGAGATCAAAGTCATTTGGTATAAACACTCTCACTTTCCCCAGGATGGTGGGATCTTTTCTCTTCACTCCCACCTCTGAAGAAGAAGCACACTTCCTCTGTGCTTAAGTTGAACCTAGACTTCAGGGTGGGATGAGTACATGGAGAAATGAGCAGAAAGAGTGGATGACAGAGAAGATAGGAAAAGCAGAAATATAGCAAAATACAAATAACTTTCAAAAGTGTGCATCAAAGGGAAGGAACAAGTCATAGAGTCGAAGAAGATAATGTGATTGAAGACAGACTCTTTATAATTTGATGGAAAACCTCCAGCAGAGAGGAGATGATTCATTGAGCATGTCCCAGAGCAAAGAGAACAAGGTCCTTCATCCCATCTCATTTCTTTTCTTTCTTTTTTTTTTTTTTTTTGCTATAGGGCATGTGCACTCGCCAGACAGAGACATAGAGACAGAAAGCAAAAAATCATCCCCCAGGGGGGATGGTCACACCGCAATCCCTTCTCCTCCATTCTCCTCTCGGGATCTTGGGCACACAGGCACACGCTCCTGGCGTGAGTTTTAAGCCACCGGGTCCAGGATGCGAACCGCGGTCGACTACGTGGGAGTCCAGCGACACAGTCATTACGCTAACTGCTGGTCCCTATCATTTCTTGTATATCCTCTTACTCGTCTTTATCTTTCCTGAGTGTCAAGTCCACACATTGAATGTAAGTGTGGTCAATCAGTATTTATTCAGTTGAGCACTGGACGGGTCAAGCTATGAAGCTGAAGTAATATCTTGAATTCTCTTGAAAGGTTCCAGCTTTGTTCTAAATGAGATACCCCAGCCCCATGACCACCCCTTTCCTTGTAAGAAAAGTGAGCCGAGGACAGCAGTTTCCTTACCGTCGTTGTTTATGTCGATCTTACGAAACACCAAGTTGGTGAATTCCTCAGGACTGAGAGCTTGCTGGCCATTGAGGGCCTGGACAGCCTGCAGAGAGATATTGTGTCAGACAGTTCAACCTGGCTAGAAGCAAATACATTTTGTAACATTTCTGCACCAACGTGACAGATCGGGGATGTGTGACTGTTTTGTTAGCCAATCTGTTCCAGTTGTTAAAAATAAATAAAGAGAAAAGATTGTGTATCAGCTCTGGGTAAATGAGGCTTGGAAATTAAAGGAGCTCAGTAAAGTCTGATGTTTTGTTTTATACCATTTAGGTAGTTTCCCATTTTGTCAGTTTTTTGCTCTTGCTATACATTTTATCTCATGCTATTATACACTGTAGCTGTCTCCTACTGTATTGGGGATGGTCGGATGAATTCATTGAATTATAGAAATGAGAAGAATCTGGTATTAATAAACTATCTATTAAAAATACTTAATTTAAGGATTAGTAGGTGGTACATTGGTTATGTCACTGGACCCTCACGTAGTTGACCATGGTTCAAGTACCGAACCCAGTGGCTTAAAACTCATGCCAGGCTCATACATATGTGTGCCCAAAATCCCGAGAGGAGAATGGAAGAGAAGGGAATGTGGTGTGGCCATCCCCCTGGGAAGGAGGGGTGATTTCTCACTTTCTGTCTGTCTTTTTGGCTCTTTGTTTCTCCAGCAAGGACATGTGCCCTATAGCAAAAAAAAAAAAAAAAAAAAAAAAAAAAAAAAAAAAAAAAAAAGAACAAAGAAACACTTAATTCAGGGTCAGGAGGTGATATGGTGATTAAGGCATTGTACTCCCGTATGACTACTGTGGTTCAAGTTCTGGATTTGGCAGCTTGAAAATCATATCAGGCACTTGTGCATGCATGCGTGCATGCCCTCTCCCAAGAGAATGGAGGAGAAAAGATTGTTGTGTAGCCATCCCTCCTGGGTATGGTAAGAGGGGTGATTTCTTACTTTCTCTCTCTGTCTCTCTCCAGTTAACACATGTGCCTTATGGCAAAAACCTAAAACAACAACAGAAAAAAATCCTTAATTTAGTCTGGCTCCCAGAAATATTAGTCCTCACATACCTTCATTCTTAATACATACCTCTTGTTTGTTATGTATATAACAAACAAGTATCTTGTATTTTAGCTGCTTTTTGCAAGATTTTCTGCACTAAGGCAGAAAAACAGATGTTTTAGAATATGATATGGATTTCATTTCCTATCCCAATGCTCTGCTAAATTTGTGAAGTTCAGGGTGGACTGCACCAATAAAACTGCTGATTTGCAGTTGCATATTCAGTAACCAACAGGATAAGGGAATCTTAGATTGCTTTAGTTACTCAAAATGTATATCCCAAGAACAGGCAACTGCATAGGCCACTGTGGCCCACTCCGCAGGGAGGAAAATTGGATTTATTATATAACAGCCTGCAAAGGATCCTTTACTACCTCACTTACCATGAAGATGTTCAGTAGTTCCTTCTTGTCAATAGAACCATTTCCATCAGCATCATACAGCTTAAAATACCATTTTAACTTTTGCTCCATTTTTCCTTGTACAATTAGATTTACAGCAGCAATAAACTCTAAAACATCGATAAATCCATCCTATGGAAAGTGAAGTGAAAAAGGAAATAAATATTTACGAGGAACAATTGTTTTTTATTTGAGAAGTCATCATTCATGAACATCTTTAGTACAATTTAATACAACCCACAAGATTTCAACATGGAATGCTTCCCTGGTGCTTCATTAAAAAAAAAAAAAATCAGGCCATATGTATGGAAACAAGGAGCTTTAATAATTAAATGTGTTTTTAAATAAAAGTTATTTTTTTTAGAGCAGCTTTAGGTTTATAAGAAAATTAAGCAGAAGGTACTGAGGTTTCTCCATATGTCCTCCCACCCCTACACAAAGCCTCCCCCATTTTCTACATCTTGCCCCAAGAGTGATATGTTTGTTGCAATTGATGAACCTACATTGACACACCATTGTCATCACTGTTCATAGTTTATATTAGGGTCATATATGCTATGGTTTTGATAAATGTTTGATAACATGTATCCACCATTATACTGGGATGTTGACATCTACTAGCACAAAGCACCCCTTCAGACTTACGGGTCTGTAAAGTGGTATGTGTTTACTTTGAGTGTCAAGCTTAGTGTCTAGTCCGCCAAGCCTACAAGGAAGCAGCTGAGAAAGATACCCCATGTGGAGTGTGAAGCGAAGCCTGTATGTGTGAATAATGGCTTTTTGAAAGGTATTTTATTTTATTTTATTTTATTTTATTTTAAAGATAAACACAGTATCTTAGGTGGTGGAAGCTAATGTGCTAATCATTATAGCATCGTCTACAAAATTTATTGTAACTTGGGACCAGCAGATGAAGTAATGGTTACATCACTAGCCTATCACATGCCCAACTGCGGTTTGAGTCCCAGACCCCACGGCTTGAAACATGTCCTGCATGTCTGTGCCCAAAATCCTGAGAGGTGAGTGGAGGAGAAGGGATTGTGGTGTGGCCATCCCCCAGTGGGTGATTTCTCACTTTCTTTCTGTCTCTCTTTCTGCCTCTCTGGAGAGTGTCCATGGCCTATAGCAAAAATCTCTCTAAAAATAATTATGATTATACCCTAATTTTCGACACTGTGGATGTTTTACTTCTGTAGTCCAAAAAAAAAGCAAGAATTGAAAACTCATTTTATGACATTTGGATTTCAGATATGTTTTTCAACTTAAGCATCTTTACCTCAATAACTTTAAAACTTCCTGTAAGAAATAATTATTCTGCCGACTGCAGTCTTATTGCATTTGTCCCTTAAAGGAAATTTGTTCAAATATATAAAACATAACTGATTTTACTTGGTCTTCATTTTTCTTTCATGCTGCTCACTATCATTCACCTTACTAGTCCCTGGCAGTGCTATGGCGAGACAAGGGAAATACGTTATTGTGGAATTTAAATGTATTTAAGAAATGTATTTATCTCCAGAGGGCCAGCAAGTGGCATAGTGGTTAAGTGGCTGGATCCCACATGGCCAGCTCCAGTTTGAGTTCTGGATCCAGCAGCTTGAGAAACACATCAGGCACGTGTGCATGCATGCCCAAAATCTCAAAAGGAAAATGGAGAAGGGATTGCATCATGGCCATCACCCCTGGGGGATGATTTATCACTTTTCTTCTCGCTCTCTGTCCAGCAAGAGCACACACTCTATGGCAGAAAAAAAATCTAAAAAATCAAAATAAAAATATTTACCTCCAAGCAGCCAGCAGGTGGCATAATGTTTAGGGCCCTGAGCTCTCACATGACCAATGGCAATTTGAGTCCCAGATGCAGTTTGAGGATTGAAACTCACTCTAGGCCTGTGTGCACGCGTGCCCAAAGTCCCAGGAGGAGAATGGAGGAGAGAAGATTGCGGCATGGCCATCCCTTCTGGGGGTGATTTCTTGCCTTCTCTCACTCTGTCTCTCTGGCAAGCTCACATACCCTATGGCAAAAATCTCTCTTAAAAACAAAGATATATCTCCAGATTTATGGGGCATGACCATTGTTTTCAGAAACAGGGCTAGAGTTGTGCAGGACATAAGCTGGGTAGACAGCATCCACCCAGAGACACCTTTGCTCTCAGACCTTTCTCCTGGGACTTTAGGGCTGACCAGTCAATACAACTGTCCCCAGGCAGTTACTGTGTGGTTTTCCGAAAGGGTCACAAAAGAAGTCTCGCTGCAGAGCTGACTCGTTATTGAGATCTGATCTCACAGAGTTTCCATAACAACCTTTTCTTTGATGATGGTTTGTTTCACTTTATGATTTCCTCCTCAGTGATCAGATTTTTCTATGTCACTTGCATGAATGGCAAAGTTCCAGGGAGCCTGTTGCCTTTAGAGCACTGAGCATTTATTATTAAGCACAGTGCAAGGCCGGCCCTAACACCTTCCAATCCAGTCTCTAGACACCTGGGCAAGCTCAATAAGAAGATGATCATAAACACTGGGTCACTGGAAAAGTGATGATGTATTTTTCTATACAAAACTGTGTCGTGACTTTTCCAATGACCCAATATTTTCACTGCATAGTTATTCTAAAAGAACAACCTGGTTAATCTACACCCGAAGCTGATTACAGATTAGGAAACCTTTCCATTTAGACAAGTACAGTCTCATTCCAAGTGTCTGCAAGCCAACATTTCTTTCTTTTTTTTTTTTTTTTTTTTTTTTTTTTTTTGGGGGTTTTTTTTTTGGGGGCCGGTCGTGCATACAGGCACGTGCGCTCACCAGAAATACAGAGAGAGACAGAAAGCGAGAAATCACCTCCCAGGGAGGATGGTCATGCTACAATACCTTATCCTCCATTCTCCTCTTGGGATCTTGGGCACGCACGTACATGCACCCAGCGTGAGTTAAAGCCACCAGGTCCAGGATTTGAACTGCGGTCAACTACATGAGAGTCTAGGACCATAGTCAGGATTTGAACTGCGGTCAACTACATGAGAGTCTAGGACCATAGTCATTACACCAACTGCTGGTTCATGCAAGCCACCATTTCTGCTCTCACTCAGCACTCTGCTTTGTAGTCAGGTAAGCTAATCTTTATAATTCACCTCATCTTTCCTATCATCTCTCTGTTCAGATTTTGCAGAAATTGGCATTGGCGAGATGACTCGGTACATGTGATTTGATAGCTTGTATTATTAGTGCTGGAGAGAGTTTCAGGTAAATGTTACTCTGTGAATTAGAAGAAAAAAAAAACAATCACTGTCTTCAGTTAATCTATGGATTTCAAGGGCAGGAGAATGGGATAATTATTACTGAGAAGGCAAAATGATGTCTTACGATGTGACGAGGAAGACTGCACTAGAGAACGTCCAAAAGCTTTTCTCCCATCCGCGGAACAGTCTTAGGCTATTTCTGTAGCGGAGCCCAGGAGCCCTGTGGCACACAGAGCTGTCTGGAGATGTCTGGCTTTCTTGGCCTGAGCTGCGTGTGATTCATCAGCTCCCGGCCTCAGGATCACTAATGGAGCATGCAGACTCCTAACCCTAGCCCAAAGAAACAGCATCAGAGCTTCTTGGGATGTGGCCTAAGAATCTGCATCTTAAAAGGACCCCAGGAGGGGGCCAGCAGGTGGCATGGTGGTTAAAGGTGCTGGATTCCCACATGGCTGACAGTGGTTCCAGTCCCAGATCTGGTGGCTTACTTTCTCACTTTCCCTTTCTCTTTCTCTGCCTGATAATAATAATAATAATAATTAATAAATGGAATTAAATAAATAATTCTTTTTTTTTTAATGATCCCAGGAGAGTCTTGTGTATCCTGAGACCCTGGAAACACAAATCTAGGTTCTTTCCTTATCCACACCTTTCTTGCAGACAATTTTATCATCCAAAGTCATCTCTCCACATGGCTATTGTAATTGTCACTTAGCCCAAAGTGAATTTATGTAAATTTATTAAGAATAGTTAGAAAATTAGGACCAGCAGTTGGCATAATGGCTATGTCACTGGACTACCATATAGTTGATCACAGTTTGAGTCTTGGATCCAGTGGCTTAAAATCATGGCCAGGGGGTGGGCCGGTGCGGTCCCAAGAGGAGAATGGAGGAGAAGGATTGCGGCATGGTCATCCCCCCTGGGGGGTGATTTCTCGCTTTCTGTCTTCTCTGTCTCTCTCTGTCTTTCTGGCAAGTGCACGTGCCCTATAGCAAAAACCTCTCCAAAAAAAAAAAATGACACATATGGTTCAGTCTCAGCATAATAATAAACTTACCTGCAATCAAAAGTCAATTTCAAAATAACAAAAGATATTTACCTCATTTTACCTCATTTCTGGCACAAGCATAAGCTGCTATAGATCATGTGTGCACATCAGAAAGACAGAAAGAGACAGAGACCGACAGAAAGACAGAAAGAGACAGAGACAGACAGAAAGACAGAAAGCGAGAAATCACCCCCCCAGGGGGTTGGCCACAGCATAATCCTTTCTCCTCCATTCTCTCGAGATCCTGGGCATGCACGCACATGCACCCGGCATGAGTTTAAGCCACTGGGTCCAGGACTTGAACTGTAGTCAACTACATGGGAGTTCAGCGATATAGCCATTAGCTAACTGCTGGTCCCTGACTGTGGATTTCATCATGACATTCCTCCTGCTTGCCTCTCCATGCACACCCTGCTACTCAGTCTTCAGCAATCTCCATGCCCCCACTCCTTACTCCACTCTCTAGTCCCTTTGCAAGAATAGTCCATCCTGGCCCTCCACCAATTTTCCCTGTAATTCTACATCACAAAATCCTACGAAACTGCTCTGCCGATGCTGGAGTTCCCCTCTCTCTGAAGTTGAAGGAGGTAAATAAATGAAGCATGAAAAGCCAGAACTCATTCTAGTGCATCTCAAGAAAGGAGAGTTTGGGACATGTATATAAAAACAGTTTAATGTCGACATGCTTATTGCATCATATTCTTAGGAAGAAGTGGATTCCAGGGAAAGGTTTGGAGGTAGAGGTGGTCAGAATATGGAAGCAAGATAGTGACCCAGGTCCACTAGGGGAGTTTGACTCTATTAATAAATTACAAATCATTCTGTGGAAGGGGAAGGAAGAGTGAGAG